CATTATTAAATCTAGTAGGAAAGGAGTTACGACTGAAAAGTGCGGTTGAAGAATCATTTCACCGAAGACTTTTGAGCGCTACTGTACATATATGTTAGTGACATCACTCTTATCATGAAACAGCTGTAATCTTCTTTAACACATAAAAAGCTCCAATGGAATCGGAAGAATGTCGAAAAGGACCATGCAGCTGGGCTCTTCCTCGGTATGCCGGAGAAAAACGCCAGCTGCACTCTACATATGTATAAGCGCTCAAGCCAAACCATCGGACGTCGAACTGTACTCTATCTCTTTTCATTCATGATTTGTAACTTGTGTCTCTCAACAATGAAAACTCATTTATCGGTTTAATTACCCAAGTTTGAGTTTCGAGTTCCACGGTGCAATAAATTGGTGATACTCTATCGTGTTATCGTGTTGGCGCAAGGAAATCGACTATTTGAGTTATACACTGAACCACCACAAGAAGACTAAGGGACTTTCCTGATATCACGACAGCTCAGTCCCTTGAATGGTGCATCGGCCCGATTCTGAGCACGAACAGGTACCACTTGGACATTGAAGCTTTTCAACTTGTCGCAGAATACTTGCGAAAATTTTGGCAATACGCGACGCTTACTATACTTACTTTGTCGCCAACCGACTTGAAACAGAAAAAAATATACGCGATGCTTTCGCTTACGCTTCTCCGTTTTTTTCAATTCTTCGCTGAGGAAGTGCTTATTTTATTTCTCAATATGTCCTCAGCTGGACCCACTTCGGTACGATCACAGAAAGGATTACTAGCACGATACTGAATAGTCTTACGCACTTGTTAGAGTCGTTCGAATCCCAAGTGGGTCCCAATGTGTCGATCTCTCAGGATCCAAAAGATTTGGAACAAATCCAAGCTTTTGTGTTTCAACTTCAAGACACTAGTGAACTGGTGAGTAATGCACTGGGCTCATTCACGAACACTATCGACGCGATGGCGGACTCAATCGACGAAGAACATGAAAAACAAGCCATGCAGTATAACGATACAGCGCATGGAGTCATTGATCGCGCCACCACATTGGCAATCCAATTAAGTGCAAAGTTAACATCTGCGCATCAACGACACATGGTTATGGGGAACATTACGTCCTACATATCGCAGGAGCCCCGGATTACAGTTGCGAATGATGCGTCTACAGCGATTTTCACACCAGGGCAACACAACGTGGGCATACGCAACACCCAAACTTCCGGCAATACCTATCCCAAAGTGTTCCGGAAAAGTATGGGAGTTCCACAATTTTTGGCGACTTTTCTCCGCGAACGTTCACGAACAACCTTTAACAAAAATGCAGAAGTTCAATTACTTAGTTTTTTTCACTCCAAGGGGAGGCACGAAAGGTCATCAAACGCTATGCCATCACCGATGAAAACTACGAAGAAGCCGTAAAGTTACTTCAAAACAAGGACGGGGATACTTCGAAGTTGATAGATGCTTTGCAACGACGCCTGGAGGGCGCAAAAGCAGAAGGCACGGGTATCTCCGCTCAGCGACGCCTGGAGGGCGCAAAAGCAAAAGGCGCGGGTATCTCCGCTCAGCGACGCCTGTTGGAATACCTCATTCCAACAATATCTCAGTTGGAAAAGGAGAAAGTGAGCTTAAACGGCTCATATCTCGTACGAAAGATCCTCGCCAAGTTCAACGCCCCTCTCCAACGCACTGTGCTCACAACACTTCTTTCTCAGAACATCCGCGAAACTGAATGAAGCATGCAACAAGTCGTTCAGTTACTTGATCAGTTGTTCAGTACAGAAGAGCGCATCAATGACATGGTTACAAAAGGTAGCTCAGGAAACGAACGAACCAACGAAGTACCCGTAAGAACCAAGAGTCTTCTATGGAAAAGTACCAAAAGCGACGAATGTATGTTTTGCGCGTCGCAGCGTCACAAGTCATCAACGTGTACACAGTACGTCACCATAACGGAACGACGCAATGTCGTGCTGGAACGAAAACTCTGTCTCAACTGTGGAAAACCTGAACACTTTTCAAGGAATGCACAGGTCAGGGATGTCGTGCATGTCAAGGCATCATCATGCACTGTGTTTACAACGGACAAAGGACCAGAAGAATGTTACCGTAGCGCAGGCGCAGCCTTTGAAAAAAGTTCACTCGAAAGGACCTTTGTCTGAGCCACCCAACAAATCATTCAGCGTACAGCAACGTGCCAGGGTACAACATAAGCGAGAGGATGCGCAGGTCAACCTCATTCAGACTACTAGAGTCGAGAGAGGAAAGGCACAGCTCGAGGAATCTGTTCTAGCGCAGGAGGCGGTAGTGGTACAGAGCACAGGGAATAAGCAGGCACACAGGGAAGGTGTGCTACTACTCACGGGTTCTGCGAAGGTTGGTGACGCCAGTGGCAGTTGGAAGAAAGAAGTGGAGATACTTTTTGACACCGGAGCGGACCAATCCTTCATAAGTGAAAGATTAGCGCAACAATTGAATCTGGATTGTTCATTGATGCGCACGTTAACAATGCGCACATTTGGCGAGGAAATGCCCAAAACCAGGACCTGCAAAGTTGCTACGGTTGGAATCTGGGACCAAGACGGTCAGAAGCACGAGTTGAGCTTATGCACAACGCCGATACTGACCGGGGTAGGAAAGGCAACTAAGCTCACTCAGGAAGACATGGATTTCCTCTCCCGCAACGGCATAGTACTTTCTGCAGCGCACGACAGCACACCTCGGAATCCAGAACTACTTCTTGGCTGCGATCAACTATGGACATTCTTGCTAACCCCTTGTCCTCAGCATACCCTTCCTTCAGGGTTGCACCTCATACCTTCAAAGCTCGGTTACCTGCTTTCAGGGAAACAAAGAGGTAACACGGAGCAGTGCAAAACAGGGGAGCTCACACCAGAGGAAATAACTCCGTCACCAGTCACGATTAACACATTGACCAATTTCGACGGAGATCTGGAGCGATGGGATAGGTACTGGACCATGGATTCGGCTGGAATATGCGAATTCACCGGAACAAAAGATGCGGAGAAGGAGGCTATCAACACGAAAGTCTCCGAGTTTTTCGAACAAACTATTCAAAGGCGCAGCGACGGGTTTTATGTTCGATTACCCTATAAGGAAGGTCACGATCCATTACCTTCGAACAAAGCGATAGCAAACAGAAGACTACATAGCGAGCTCAACAGACTGAGACAACAACCGGAGATACTACGGCTGTACGACAATACCATACAAGATCAGAAAGAGCAAGGAATTATTGAAGAAAACCCTAATGATAAAACACCGGAAGGGGATGTATTGCATTACATCCCGCACCAACCTGTCATCACTCCTCATAAGGAAACCACGAAGCTTCGCATTGTCTTTGACGCATCAGCACATTTCTCGAACCAGCCATCTCTCAATGATGTACTCCACCAAGGACCGCTGACCTTTATGCGATGCTTCCGATTCCAGACAGCCCCTTATGCAGTAACTGCCGACGTCGAGAAGGCGTTTTTGCAGATCCGCTTGCATGAGCTCGATCGAGATGCCACAAGGTTCTTCTGGGTAAAAAATGTGAGTGCGCCAGTAGATAAGGACAATCTCACCACGTACTTCACTCGAGTCACGTTTGAGATTAACACATCACCATTTCTTCTAGGAGCTACAGTACGTCACCACTTAAGAGCAACACTCGAAGACGAAAAACTCGCCGAAGGAATACGGGAGAATCTCTACGTCGACAATCTCATACTCACGGCAAACTCGC